ACCACTGAGCCATCTCACCAGCCCCAAAATGATATCCCTTTTTTTTTTTTTTTTGGCAGAACTGGGGATTGAACTCAGGCCCTTGAGCTTCCAGGGAAGCGCTTATTCCACTGAGCCATCTCCCCAGCTCCTTGCCTTGGCCTTTCAAGAAAGCTAGGACTACAGGCCTGATCCACCACGCCCCAGTGCAGAATTTTGTTTGCTTAATATCCAATTCCCTAGGTAAATATAGCAAAATTAGACAAGTTTAGGGGCTGAGACCTGTGCACATCACATACTCAAGGATCTCTTCCTCCCAGGCGGACCCCCCTCCAAGCATTAAAGCCTTTCGGACTTCAAATGTAGGAACAGAGAGCACAACCTCCTGAGGTTATGAAAATCCTGGCCCACTTCCACTTCCAGGTTCAGTGTACTGATAATGGAAAATGCGCTAAGAGCACGTTACAAAACAGGAGGCGGACTTGAAATCTTCCCTTTGCACTACACTACCCCTTCTCTCAGTCCTGTGCTCCCTGATCTTCGGGAGACAGCATCCCAGACCACACCATCCCGGCTCTGCTGTGCCGGGCTGACCTCCCGTCCCGCCATCTACTCCTCTGCCCTGCACCCCTTCTGCGCAGGAACCGGATCCGAAAAGTCGAGCTGCGCGCCCAGCACGGCAGCCGAGCGCCCGGGCGCGGGAACGCCAGTCCAGCTCGCTCCGCCCAGGACGCGCGCTCCCCGCGCCCCACCCCCTTGCCTTTTGGCCAACCAGCAGTCACTTCCTGCCTCAATTTCGACCAATCCTCACACTCCACGAAGAATAGCCCTAGGGGGCGTATGGGAAAGTGCGTGGAGCGATGGTCGCCACAACCAACCGACTCTCGAAGTTTGCGAGAGAGGGCTGAGCTTGGCGCCAGCCGGAGCTACTCAGGAACGAGGGGCGGACGCAGGGCTGGGCTTCGCGCGGTGGGTCGCTCGCGAGGCAGCGCTCGCCGAGGCCTCCGGTTCTGCGACACGTGACTGTCGGGCCACCTCCGCCGCTGTCTGCACTGCAGCGCCGGGCCAGGTGTGCGGGTGGGAGAAGGCGCGGCCGCCGCGGGTGGCCCAGGAGCTCGAGGTGAGACGAGAGGCGGCCTGCGCTCGGCCGCGGGGGACCCCAGGGGCCTGGGGGCGCGGCGCTGCGGGCCGGGCCG